ATTATTTTTGGAGTTTATATTTTTGAATAAAGACAATAGGAGATCTAAGTATTTATCCAAAATACTGAATTAGGTTATTTTCCTTATATTAAAGGGGATGGAAATTTGGAGATAATAAATACAATAAGACAAAAATGTTTATGCGAAATATGGCAAGTAATCTAATTTAAAATAGGTTCATCGCAAAAAATTCTGCAAAAATTAAGATATATAACATAATAATTAGAATATTATCAAGCCCGTATGAAATTCTATATGATATAAATTATTATTGGGAACAGGTGACTCTTTGGTTCGATGGTTATTTATTTAAATTCTTTATATCTATATTCTAGTAATTATAAAACTATGAATCTAATAATTGAAGTGGTTTATCTCAAAATGCAACTTAAATAAATGGAATAATTAAATAAAAAATTAGATAATATCTATTCCTTTACTAAAGGAATTATAATAATTTTGAAGATTGAAATTGTAAAATACTATTAATACTCCATTCAACAATACAATCCTTATATAAATGTTTATTGAGAATTTAATTATAATCCATCATTAATAATGGCTTCCTTGAGAAGATATTATTTAATAAGTCAACATTCCAATCTCCAAAAATTAATTTTACTGTAGTTTTTTACTTTTAAATTTCTTAAACTTTCCAATTAATTCTTATTTATGCAAAATTCATCTGCTCATTCAAATAATTGATGCTTTATTTACAACCATCTTTTAATATATCGATCTATGAGTCTTATTAAAGATTTATTAAATCAATTTAATATCAAGTACAAAATATAAATTTGAGATGCAACTATAGAAGAAACAAAATATCCTTGGCTATTTAAATAAAAATCAAATATTTTATAAAAATTTCTCTAGATAATTAAATTATGCATGATATTGGCAATGATTTCATTTTTTAAATTGAAAGATTAAAATGTTTTTTTCTTGAAATCTAGAATAGAAAATTAAAATTACAAGTAAAAATTATAGCGTTGTATCCAATTTATGATTTGACATTTAAGAAATTGATTCAAATTAATTT